CCCCCCCCCCCCGCCCATCACTCTGCAGGCACAGATGGCTCCTGACCAAACCATTAACCCGCTGTCAAACACTTGTCCAAGTGGCAACAGCTTTTAAAGGAAAGGGCAAGAAAATGGGGGCACATCCCAGGCGTGACCGTTGTCCGAGTCTTTTGCCCAGCTCAGGGGGGTTTTAATATGCCTACAGGGCACATGCACGGCCAGCGAGCGACTGCAACGAGTTTCTTGGGTTGCTGCCAGCGGAAAAAGCAGGGGTGGTTGTTAAACGGAAGGTTTGCATCAAGGGGAGTTTGGGATAAAGCCAATGAAAAGCTATAAACCCTCCCTGAGTCGCACAACACTGGAAGGTTTTGGAGGTAAAAGTCAATTTTGGGCTCTTAGCTGCAACGTGGCAGAGACGCGGAGCAGGATGGGCTGAGCCCCTTTCTCCTGCTCCTGCTTCTCTCCGTCCCACGGGGCTTTTTAAAGGCTAAAGGAAATCGGCTATCACGTGCTCGTGGTATTTTTGTTCCCGGTGAAAGGGGGAAAATCCCTTTCCGGCTCCCCCGCCCAGGCCGGGTCCTGCGTGCCACATCCCAGCCCCGCCGGCATCTGGAGCGCATTTTGTGCAGCCCCATCCCGGGGCCTCCCAGAGCTGCCTCCGACAGCAGGCGGGGAAAACCCATCCTCCAGCCCAGCTCACGCGCATTAAAGCATCCTTAAATATCAGCGGCTTATTTGAGTCATCACTTTCCTAGCAGGGGCTGGTGGCTATTTCCATCTCCACTGGTCCTTATAGACCCCGGCAGGGACAGGGCACCTACACATCCACACATACCCCAGCATTAACTGCACCCTCCCTGCCGGCTCCCCATGTCAAACCCAACCTGGCTCCGCCAAATAAAGCCCTGCCGGCCAGGGACATTGCAGGGTGCCTCTTTACACAGGTTTTGATGTTTCCTTCTTAAAATAACAGGGGATTTCAGGATTTGTTCTGTGGTGAGCAAGCCTGGCAACTCAGCAATACCATTAAACACTCTCCCGCTCCCAAATTCATCCCCTGGCCTCCTTAATTGCCTCCTGAAGACCATGTGCTCATCAAACATGAGTTTTTCTTTGATTGCAAGGGATAATGAAGCGCGGCTATTAAAAGGTCCCGGTAAATTGCTCCACCACTTTTACAGTTGGATGATTTTTCCAATCATATAATCTTTCATTTCGGGATGCAATCTTCAATTTCAGGATGAATGCTGGAACGATGTGACTGACAGCCCTGGGGCCTGAAGGATGCCTTTTCCCTTCCCCATCAGCAGCAATGCTGCTGGGCACATCTCCCCCTGGCTTTTTTAGGTCTTGTTGGCTTTGTTTGCTCATTTCTAAGATTGTTGTTTTCTGAGATTGTTTGCACTGATTTCCTTGCTGGTAAATGACAGGGTGGGTGCAGGAAAGAGCTGGGATGTCACCCTGCTTGGGGTAGAGAGAAATGGGAAGCAGAGGAGCAGAAGCATCGCTGCCTGTGCCAGCTGCTGGTACTCCCGGGGATGCTGGGGCTGAAAATTCTGCAGGGATGCCCTAGTAAATGCACCCCTGGGTGTCCAGGTGCCACCCATCCCATGGCCTCTGTGCAGGGATGTCACCTCTGCCACTGCCAAGCCACTGACGGACTGCCAGAGCAGTGCCCAACTTTTGCAGCTGAAGGAAGGGAAAGCATGCAGGGACCCCCCCACCCTGGACCAGCATCCCTCCCGCTGTCATGGGTGGAAAAAAAGAGATTTAGGGTTGTTTTTTTTTACAACAGGGAATGGAGAGAGGCAAGTTGAGTCTTCTCCCACCTTCTTCAGCCCCAGGCAGAAAGAAGCACCGCATGGTAATTTGCCTTACCCTGTGGTTTCAGCCTGGGGTTCAGCGAGTGGGATTAGTACAAAAATTCATAAAACCACTCCAATTTACTATTTTTCTGTGGCCCTAGAGGCTGCCCGAGGCTGCGGCCCCCACCGGCACTGCTCTGGCCGGGGAGCATGCCGAAGAGTGTGCCCGCTCGCCCCCGCCAGGGCCGTCAGCTCATGTTAACTCAACACGGCGAGCGGGGGTCTGCCAGGGGCAGCGCGGGAAGGACCATTCTCCCGTCCTTCTGCATTACTTGGCTTCCAAAGCCAAACCGAGACCCGGCGAGAAAAGCACAGTTAATTAAAAAGGTCCTTTCCTGCGTCACCCATCCAGAGGGATCATATTTTCCTCTTGTTTTGTTTTATTTTTTCCCCTCCCTGGAAGCTGAATGGGAGAGGGACCAGGGAGAGAAGCTGCTGCTGGGAATGGGTGTTTGTCCCCACCGAAAAGCGATGCCATGAAGGATCGCCGGCCGGTGGTAGTCAGGCACCAGGTATTAACAGGAGAAGACAATTTCATGGGTTAAAACAATGCCACGCCCTGACAGCAGTAAGGACCCAGTAACTTATTCTTCATCCTTTTAATTAATCATACTCTTATCAGCCAGCTCAATCAGCTAATGGAGCTGAGTTAATTGGGTTTCCCATGCCTTAAACCCTCCTCGCAGCCTTGGCTGGCAACAGCAGCAATTCCAGCCTTTCCTTGTGCCCGGTGTCCAGAGGGGTTATTTCGGGCTCATTCCTCATTGCTGGGATGGGGTCGGGAAAGAGCGGGGGAGGCAAATCCCCAGCACGGAGCTGGGAAGGAGGCAGCCACTGATGAGGTTGTTTCCTATGGGATTTAGGGGCGCAGGGGAGGGCCCAGCAGTGGGAAAGCTCAGAAAGGGATGCTCCCACCCTTGCCGGTGGATGGGGCTTGCAGGGACCGGTCCAGCGGCATCCCGAGCCTCTAGGCTTGACCACAGCACGGTGGGGACCCCGCGAGCACCCGCTCCAGCCCAAACACCTGCGCTGCCTGATGGGGCGATGCCGGGTGTGGGGGGCTTTAGCTGCAGAGCCCCTCTGGCTGTCCTCACCTCCAAAACACACAATGGCAGAAGCAGCTGAGGCAGCCGACCGCCCCCACAGCTCACATGCACGGACGCATCGGGACAGGCGAGCCACGTGTGCCAGCCCACGCGGCTGATGCCCCCGTCCCCGAGAAGGGACGCTGCTTGGCCATCGGCCAGCATCGCTTCCCCCCGC